TTTTCCATCAAGCGGGATTGGCCTAGGGGGGGATTTTATAGGGATTTTAAAGGGATTTTATAATTTTTCTAATACAGGTTATTTAATATATATTTTAATTTGGCTTTTAGATATTTATTGTATAGCTCTGTTTTTACTTACCTGTAAGCCGCCCTGAGTCCCTCGGGAGAAGGGCGGGGTATAAATTAAAGTAATAAAATAAATAAATAAATCTTACCTCAGTTTCTCGACCAATTGCTACTCAGAACCTTAACAATTGTACTTCGTCGTTTTCTGGGTCACATTTCTTACCCTTCTTTCCTGTTTTCAATCATCTTACCTCAGTTTCTCGACCAATTGCTACTCAGAACCTTAACAATTGTACTTCGTCATTTTCTGGGTCACATTTCTTACCCTTCTTTCCTGTTTTCAATCATCTTACCTCAGTTTCTCGACCAATTGCTACTCAGAACCTTAACAATTGTACTTCGTCGTTTTCTGGGTCACATTTCTTACCCTTCTTTCCTGTTTTCAATTGGCAAAGGTACACGGCCTCCCCGGTCTAATGCTGAGGTAATATTAATGACAGTCAAGCCTTCTTGCTCCCACATGCTATCAACCGCTTCTTGAAAAAGTTCTTGGGCATCATTCAGAAGCATTTCCTCAACATCCCAATTCTTCACAAGGAAGTCGGCTTGGTACGGCATATCTCCATCTTCAGGTGAAGGACAGAAAAAAGGGAGGTGGGGAAAGGCAAATGCGAACTACCCATGTCTGGCATGCTTCTTAAGAAAATGTTCGAACACTGCCTGCTTTAAGCAAGCAAGCAACCTGCCTTCTTTCAAAGAGGCATTAATATTGTAGTGTTAATTAAGGGATTTTTCATAACTCAAAGCTAGAAGTTAGAAGCCAAGCAAAGATCACATCCATGTTAAAGCTATCAGGTGTTTTTTTATTGCATACAAACCATTTACCTGGAGATAATGAAATGAATATTTCCATTATTTGCCTTACAGTCTCAAATGTATATCTGTTATAGGCCATCACCTACAACAGAGAAGCAAGACGTTACTGGGTTACTGTACAGGTATTTGTTCTTCTCTCTCTCTTTTTGTATATAATAATAATAATAATAATAATAATAATAATAATAATAATAATAATAATAATGATAAAGTTGGAAGGGACCTCGGAGGTCATCTAGTCCAACCCCCTGCTCAGGCAGGAAACCCTATACCATTTCGGACAAATGGCTGTCCAGTCTCTTCTTAAAAACTTCCAGTGTTGGAGCATTCACCGCTTCTGGAGGCAGGTTGTTCCACTGGTTAATTGTTCTAACTGTCAAGAAGTTTCTCCTTAGTTCTAGGTTGCTTCTCTCCTTGATTAGTTTTCATCTGTTGCTTCTTGTCCTGCCTTCAGGCGCTTTGGAGAATAGCTTGACTCCCTCTTCTTTGTGGCAGCCCCTGAGATATTGGAACACTGCTATCATGTCCCCCCTCGTCCTTCTCTTCGTTAAACTAGACATACCCAATTCCAGCAACCGTTCCGTATATATTTTAGCCTCCAGTCCCCTAACCATCTTTGTTGCTCTTCTCTGTACTCTTTCTAGAGTCTCAATATCTTTTTTACATCGTGGTGACCAAAACTGGATGCAGTATTTCAAGTGTGGCCTTACCAAGGCATTGTAAAGTGGTATTAATACTTCACGTGATCTTGATTCTATTCCTCTGTTAATGTTATCTATTTATCTATTGCCTGAAAAGGAAGAAAATTCTCCCCTTTTCATTTTCTAAAAAATACAGTTATTAAAGCCAATTAATTGTCTCAGAACACAAATGCCAGGAAGCAAATCTTTCTTCCATCAGTTTAGAAATCTGGGATGAAACATCCCAGTATAGAGAACATTTCAGAATCAGAAAGCCAAACCTTATCAATGCTTACAACCAAGAAGGCTAGATTCTCACATCTCATTAACCAGATTTCTTGAAAAGAAAAAAAATAGGTTACCAAATTTTGAAAACTGTATATAGGTAATCCTGAAATTACAACAGTTTGTTTAGTGACTATTTGAAGTTACAATACTGAAAAAAGTGACTTTTGACCATTTTTCACCCTTATGACTGTTGCAGCATCCCCATGGTCACGTGATCAAAATTCAGACACTTAGCAACTGACTCACATTTATGATGATCACAGTGTCCCGGGGTCATGTGATCACCTTTTGCAACCTTCTGACAAGCAAAGTCAATGGGGAAGCCAGATGCACTTAACAACCACATTACTAACTTAACAACTGCAATGATTCACTTAATAACTGTGGCAAAAAAGGTGGTAAAATCTGACAAAGCTCATTTAACAACTGTCTTGCTTAGCAACAAATTTTGGGCTTAATTGTGATCATAATACTCCTTGTATATGTACATTAGCATGATTTTAATCAGCAAGCTCATTAGGATAGGGGTTCTTTGATCTTCTTGCTGATTGCCTCTGAAATAGCTGGAAGGTAACTACCAGTATTTACCTCGCTGATATGGAAGGTATATGTAACTCTTCTAGCCTTATAATATTTTGGAAACTACCGTATTTTCCGGCGTATAAGACGACTTTCTAAACCCTGAAAATCTTCCCAAAAGTCGGGGGTCATCTTATACGCCCAGTCGTCTTATACGCCGGAAAATACGGCCGAGCCGGCCCATGTTTCCCCAGGCCAGGCCGGGCCGGGCGGCAGTCATGACTGGTGTGGCGGCTGGCGGGAGCATTGCATCCCGGGAAGCCGAGCCGGCCATATGTCTTCCCAGGCCGGGCCGGGCGGCAGTCATGGCTGGGCTCGCAGCCAGCAGGGGCATCGCACCTCGGGAAGCTGAGCCGGCCACATATCTCCCCGGGCCAGGTGGCAGTCAGGCATGAAGCTCGTCTGGCTGCCGCAGGGCTCTCTGCCGCCCGGCCTCATCGGTGGCACCTTCCTCGGCCACTTTCGGGGAGCTGCTGCCGCCCTCGGTGCTGCAGGAGAAGGAGACCTTGGGCTGTGAGGGCGGCGGGGCTGGTGGCGAATCGGGACCCCCCTCGTCCCCGCGGCGGCACTCCGTTGCAGCCACGGCCGCCCATGGTGCACCCGGCCTTGGCGCCCTCCTCTTGCGACGGCGAAGTGGCTGAGGATGTGGCGGGAGCGGCGACCGGGTCAGGGGCAGCGGCGGTGACCCCGACGATGCTGCAGTGTCCGCTGCCGGAGCCGCTGCCTCCCGTCCGCTGCCTCCCCGCCCGTTCGGCTGAGGACGCAACGGGGGCGGCGGCCAGGAGCTGTTGCCTCCCGTCCTGCTCCCCCTCCCTGCCCGTTCGGCACCGTCTGCCTTTCATTCTCTCTCTCTCTCTCTCTCTCCTAACTTGGAGGGAGAGGGAGAGAGAGAAAGAGAGAAAGAGGAAAGAAAGAGAAGAGAAAGAGGAAAGAGAAGAGAGAAGAGAGAGAGAAAGAGGAAAGAGAAAGAAAGAGGAAAGAGGAAAGAGAGAGAGGAAAGAGAAAGAGGAAAGAAAGAGAAGAGAAAAAGAGAGAGGAAAGAGAGAAAGAGGAAAGAGAAAGAGAGGAAAGAGAAGAGAAAGAGAAAGAGAGGAAAGAGAGAGAAAGTTAGAGGAAAGAGAAAGGAAGAGAAAGAGACAGAGAAAGAGAGAGGAAAGAGAGAGAGAAAGTTAGAGGAAAGAGAGAAAGAGAAAGAGAAGAGAGAGGAAAGAGAGAAAGAGGAAAGAGAAAGAGAGGAAAGAGAGAGAAAGAGAAAGAGAAGAGAGAGGAAAGAGGAAAGAGAAAGAGATAAAGAGGGAGAGGAAAGAGAGAGGGAGAGAGGAAAGAGAAAAAGAAAGGAAAGGGAGAAGGAGAGGAAAGAGAGAGAGAAAGAGAGGAAAGAGAAAAAGAGGGGGAGAGGAAAGAGAGAAAATGAGGAAAGAGAAAAAAGATTGAGAAAAGAGAGGAAAGAGAGAAAGGAAAGAGAAGAGAAAGAGAGGAAAGAGAGAGGAAAGAGGAAAGAGAGAGACAGAGAAAGAGAGAGAAAAGAGAGAGAGGAAGTTAGAGGAAAGAGGAAAGAGAAAGAGAGAGAGGAAAGAAAGGAAAGAGAGGAAAGAGGCAGAGAGAGAGACCCTTTTGACATCTAAAATGAAGATAACACTGCATATATCCTTTTTTACCTTTATTTTATATATACACACACAAACGTACACACACACACACACACACACATATCATAAAGGTAAAAAAGGATATATGCAGTCTTTTAGATATCAGAAGGGTTTTGCGGCTCCCAGTGTTTTGTTTTCGATGGGAAACGTGTCCAAGTGGCTCTTTGAGTGTTTTGGGTTGCCTACCCCTGATATAACTGGAAAAGTTGGGGGTCGTCTTATACGCCCAGTCGTCTTATATGCCGGAAAATACGGTATCACTCTTTCCAGATTCAGAGAAGTACATTACACAGAAATATCCCTGGATAATAATTCATGGTTGAGAGCCCATTTGATGCAGTGGTTGAAGCATCAGGCTAGAAACCAGGAAACTATGAGTACTGGTCCCACCTTAGGCCTGAAGCCTAAGGGAGGACCTTAAGCCGATCACTGTTTCTCAGCCCTGTGAAGCAGGCAATGGTATAGTGCAGGGATAGGCAACCTTGGCTCTTTTATGACTCGTGGACTTCAACTCCCAGAATTCCTGAGCCAGCATGGCTGGCTCAGGAATTCTGGAAGTTGAAATCCACGAGTCATAAAAGAGCCAAGGTTGCCTACCCCTGGTATAGTGCTTCTGAAATTGCTACCTTCATGATCCCCATCTCTGTCCTAGTAGTGCCTAATCCCAATCCCAACCTCAGCCCCATTGAGCTTCCAAGCCCAGACACATTCATCCAAATACACCTGCTGAAGCTTAATCTAAATTAGATTGTGCCCCCAAAACTTTGCACAGAATGCAGTTATAAAGATTTTTACAGCTCCTGCTGTAAAAGTTAATAAAATGTAATGCTGAGAAAGCTTCACTTGAGAAACAGGCAAACAAATACAACATTTTGAAAAGCAGACAGGAACCTCAATGGTCTGCTTGCCCATGTCCTTAGCTGTGGGAGATCCATAAAGGTATCCCGAGTCAAAGGGGGTACGTTGAATGTAGCGTAGCCAGCGGGGCAAATCAGGGTGATCCAGAAGATTGGCATGGAAAGTGATGGGAGGGTCAAACGCAGGTTCTTCTGAAAGATTTTAAACGCAGTCCAAGTTAAATGTGATTTTCTCCCACAATAAAGAGGATGTTATTGTGAAGTTCCGAATTCAAGTGATACAATACTTGTACAAAACGAAGATTTGTTTTTTAATCCAAATAATTTGAATTTAAAATGGGCAGAATTTTCTTTAAAAGGCTAATATTATGTAATAGCAGCAGGCTCCATTAATATATTTAAATATATATTTGGGTTTTTTTTAGATAAATACAGTAAAATCTGTCTTTTTAGAATCAACAATAGGATTAGGGTTATTAGGGCTACAATAGTAGACTGATTTTTTTCTTCTATAATTTTCAGTCAGTCAATGTGGGGGGGGAATGGTTTCCTAGAATGACTGGCAGAAGACATGACTTTTTCAACAGGCTACTAATTTTGGAAATTTCACCAAAACATTCTTTCATTTTGCATTAATCTAGTGACACAAAGTATTCCACTGTTTCTTATAATAAAGGAAGCTCTAAATTAGTGTTTTTCAGATTTTGCAACTTTTAAGTTGGATGGACTTCAACTTCCAGAATTCCCCAGACAGTATGCTGGTTGGGGAATTCTGGGAGTTAAATTCCACACAACTTAAAGTTTCAGAAACACTAATTTAAATCATGCAGACCTTTTGCATCTCATTTGTAACCTCCAGCATTTTGAAACTCTACTGCTAAAATTTGGCCGCAAAATGGCCACTTAGTAGGGTGGTTTTTCAAAGTTTTTTTCTTAAACAGTATAGTAGGCAAACAATTCTCATTCTACTTTGAAAACCCATCTGATATCCCAAAATTACTTCATCAAAATCCTACCATTTTGCCATCAAATATTGGCTGTTTGGGGGCTTTTTTTTTTTAGGGGTAAATGGTAACTTTAAAGGTCAAAACAGAAGTAATTTGTCCTAATCATTCCAGTAAGATTCTGTTATCAATCTAAGCTTAAGAAACTGAATTATATTAAATAGTATATACATAATATACCTACCTACCTACATACATACATACATACCTACCTACATACCTACATATATTATTAAATATTATATTATTAAACTCAAGCAATCTTACATTCATTAACATTTCAAAAATTATATTTAATACTGATGTAATTGTTTCCTTATTATCCAAGTCATCATAGTGTTAACAATTTCTAGTTAATATAGTATAAATTCCACTGTACCTTGATAATATAACATTATTTGCAATTTATAATACAATAAAACAATAAATTTGGGAGAAAAAAAGAAGCTGAAATATAGTTTCTGATTCTTCAAAGGTTGCAATTTTCTGGTCTGAGCTCAAGGAAAAACAAGACCATAGGAAAAAAATGAGAATGGCTCAGTTTAGCAGGCAGTATAAAAATGCTGTCCCGTTGCAGCCACCTTTGTAATTTGACCACATTAGCAACAGCTGGGTAGCAACTGATGCTCTTGTCATGCAGGCAGGCAGGCAGACCAGAGAAAAGGCTGGATAGATTTTACTTGTATGTGTGTCTGCATGAGAGTGTGTGTGTGTGTGAGAGAGAGGTAGGTAGGTAGGTAGGTAGGTAGGTAGGTAGGTAGGTAGGTAGGTAGGTAGGTAAATGAAAGAAGGTGTGTGTGTTTGCATGTGCATGAATAATGCCAACAATAATAATGACGGATGTATGGGAAAACTCATGGAGGGACAGAAAGAAAACGCAACAAAAGAACATGCTTGAATTGCTTACCATTGTCCTCCATGGAGAAAGGGAAAGTATCCTTAAAGTCCTCTATGTCCAGCTCATGGGTGAAAATTACTCCAACCACCGCTTGGAGATGGAGAATAGGAAGACTGGCAGCCAAACTCCCAATTAAAATAACCCCTAGCAGCAAGTAGAGAAAGCAGCCATTTAGAAACAAAATCCCAGTCCTTTTGGTGCAAAGACAGTATTTCTTTTATCTCCAGTGCTCCTTGCTTTCAGTAGACCGAGCTTCAGCAAAACTTACAGCACAGGTAGTCCTCAACATACAACTACAGTTGAGCCCAAAATTTCTGTTGCTAAGTGAGACAGTTGTTAAGTGAATTTTGCCCCATTTTACAACCCTTCTTGCCACAGCTGTTATGTGAATCACTGCAGTTGTTAAATTAGTAACATGGTTAAGTGAATCTGGCTCCATTGACTTTGCTTGTCAGAAGGTCACAAAAGGTGATCAAATGGCCCCTGGAGAGTGCAACAATCATAAATATGAGTCAATTGTCAAGCATCTGAATTTTGAGCATGTAATCATGGATGTGCTGCAACAACCGTGTGAAAAATGATGTTAAGTCACTTTTTTCAATGCCATTGTAACTTTAAACAGTGACTAAATGAACTGTTGTAAGTTGAAGATTATTTTTATATCCAGTTCAAGCAAGATTTCTGCCTAACTGGAAACCCTGCATATTTGGACTCCTGCTAAAAATGAAACAGAAATTTGAAATCATGCAGCCTGGAAATAGATTAAACTGTAACACAGAATGTGCTTTAAACACAGATACACATACATTTTTCTTGGCTTGATTCCTTCTAAATCACATTAAGCCATTTTCATCATGGTGATGATGTTCTTCTACTGATTGGTTTTTTTATTTAATAGATTTCTGTAGGCTATTTATAGGTGCTCTATTTATAGGCGCCATGAGTTGGTTTTCTCACCAATTTAACTTTTTGGATAATTACACAGAGAACCTCTTCAAGAAGAGTTACAAAATCACATTATAAAATATTATTATAATATAAGCAGGACTGGAAATACAAACTTTAAATGAGACTTTGCACTTATTTATTTAGCATATAGCATGAAATACATGGATAGCAATAGTAAAAATGTATAGAAGAAACACATAATAATGAGATACATATCCAATGGAAATGTGTGGCCAATTTTGTAAGGCATAAGAAATTCAAGAAGTCATATATTAAGTTATAAGCTACATTTTAAAATATGTTAGTTAGTGGAAATAAAATAAGTGTTCTATATGTTAATAACTAGGCTATTTATCCGATTAAGTGTGGTATTTGTTAATGGGAGAAAGTCTGCTTTTCCTCCTGTGTAAGACAGCAGCTAGTCACTATGTGAAGCAGTATGTGCTGGACAGCCCCAAAGTCACACTCAAGAGAGAATACTCTGCCCCATTTAAACAAAGCTTTGGCAGATGCCAGGTAAGATACGAATCCAATTCAAAGTTTTCCAGTGGGTGGTATCAAAGCCTGCTAATTTTTCTGTTGGATTAGTTATATTTTTTCTGGGGTCTGGGTGGATTTTGTACTCTCTGGCTATAATAAAGTTTGAAGAGTACTTACTTAGAGAAGTTGAGATGAAGATTTGTAATATTAGTACACAGAGATATTTACACCTGTTTCCTTTTAAAGGAATTGAAATCCACATATCTTAACATTACCCAGATTGAGAGACACTGATAAGGATTATATATGCATCTATGAGTGTTCTGAAGGAATTGGAAATCTTCTCAATCTTGTCATAGAACTTCATATACCATCACTTCCAATGTTAGCCTTTATTTGAGAGTGAGAGAATAGTCAGAGGTTTTCAACATTTTGATTTCTCCTTCCAAGTTGTGTTTCAAATCAAATCAAATTTTATCAGAGCTGTAAGGCTAGCTATTAAATCCCCAGCATTTCTTAGACTTTAGAGCAAAATCCATTCCATGTTCCCTAAGTTAATCTCCTATAATTTCTTCTTTTTATTCATTTATTATTAATTATTACTGCTGTTCAATTTAATCCATTTCATTTGGGGGTGGCTTTTTAAATTGTTTTGGAACCAATCTTGGTGCCAAACAGGATATAAATATTTCAATTGATTAATAATATATTATGTGCCATCAAAACATTGTCAATTCTTAACAATATTGATAGATCTTCTCCATGATAATCGGCCCCTAACTTCATTTTTCAGGTCTTCCAATGGAGCACCTATCACTACTGTAATTGACTTTATTTAGTTTGCTTCTGGGCACCCTCTTCTTTGTTCCACCTGTGTTACAATCTTCTCCATAGAGCTAGGTCTTTGCATAATGTGTCTGAAGTATAATAATTTTAATCAGATAATTTGTGCCTTGAATAAGAAGTTTGGTTGATTTATTTAATGATTCATTTGTTAGGTTTTGCAGCTGTCTATTAAATTCTCAGGAATCTCCAAAGTCAGTATTTTTCCCACCCTGCTTCTTCAAAGCCCAATAAATAGTCATTGCCTAATCTTGCAATCCCTTTTGTGCAAGTAAGATAGAGTTTATACATTGAAACCCAACTTCTGTATGTACAGAAGTCCAACCAAACTGAATTTCTCTTCACTTTTTTTTACTTTATGTGCTTCTAATCACTAGTTTTGATGGAGGAGTGATGGTGTTCTATCTGCTCTCTAGCTTCAATCTTATTCTTTCTTTCTCCTTCCTTCCTTCCTTCCTTCCTTCCTTCCTTCCTTCCTTCCTTCCTTCCTTCCTTCCTTCCGTCCTCCTCCTCCTCCTCCTCCTCCTCCTCCTATTTAAACAATGTTAATGTTACAGACTTTTCTCACCTCTGCTTCATTTATTTCCAAACAGGATTAGATCTTTTTACCTTAGAATATGTTATTTTCTCACATTGGCAAGAATCATGAAGAAGTTACTGATACAGATAGCTTAACACCTATTGAAAAAGAAATTCCTTTTCCCATTCTCTGAATATCTTGTGTACCCCAATAAGGCTCCTGTCACCCCCCAAGAGGGCAGATGAAAATACTATTTCTTCTTGGAATCCTCAAAGCATAATTCCTTCAACTCTTTGTAATTTCCTTATTCCCATCCATTAATAGAGATCCATATTGATCTCATTGGATGCTATCAGGAGAAGATTTTAACAATTAAAAAGCAGTGAGCAATTTGTCTCCTCTTAAATCATTATCTAGAAGCAGATTACAAACCATTTTTCACAATACTTAGATTAAATTTCTGTTCTACTAGTTTTTGGTTGAGTAAAAATAAATGTGAAAGGGAGAAAATGGAGTTATGACATCCTTCTTAGGAAGGCATCCAAAGAGCTCTAAGAGAACTCACTGAAGTTGGTTGGCCAATAAGTAAATAATCAGGTAGATACTGTGACTTGGAAGGAGAAATAAAGGTCAATTGGATGTCTTTTGCAAATCTTTATGGAAGTTTTCAGGTTTCTTGAACTTCTAGTGTAGGAACAATGTCAGAAGGAGGAGAATAGATCAGGAAGTATATCATAGCCAGATCAGAAGTTTGAATCTGCAGGATTGCTAATGCAAGCAATGTAGGATTTTAAGTAAAGCAGTTCTTTTCTTACTAAGAGCACATGATTTTGCTTAGCACATGTAAAGATTTCATTTTATGATATATGAAACCTACTTTTAAGTAAGTTTTGCTCCCTCCCTCCCTCCCTCCCCCCCCCTCTCTCTCTCTCTGTGTGCGCACCTGTGTGAGAACCACTGAGATATAGTAGTTCAGGTGCTGAATAGGGGAGGGTTAGACTTCCTTTAAGCAAAGGAGTCAACTAAGTGATTTTTGAGACTGTCACTCTATCTCAGCTCTAAATATTGGGAAGTTGAAAAAAAATGTACTTTTCAACTCACACTGCACCAGTGCTGTAAAATATAGCCCAAAACTTTCAATGAATCTTCATTCTGTAATGGATTGATTTGGATGATGCACAGACAGACATATGCACACATTTGGGTGTGATTCATAAAAATGTGAAAACAATTTAAAGTAAAATAAATCTGTTGGTCTTTAAAGATGCCACACATCTATTTTTCCTATTTTATTATGACAGAAAAGAGTCCCAGTTTGATGTAGTTGGTTAAGGAACCAAACTATAAAGTAAGAGACTAAGAGTTTGAGTTCTGCCTTAGGCACGAAGCCACTGGGTGATTTTGGGCCAGTAATTTTCTTACAGCCCAAGGAAGGAGGCAAAGGCAAACCATATCCAAAATCCAGGAAGGGACAACCAAACAAACTAAAAAAAAACAGGTTTGCTTATTCATAGAACTTACGGTATAGGTAGATCTCAACCTATGATTACAATTAAGCCAACATTTCTGTTGCTAAATAAGACAGTTGTTAAATGAGTTTTGCCTCATTTTATGACCTTTCTTGCCATAGTTGTTAAGTGAATCACTGCAGTTGTTAAGTTAATAACACAGTTGTGGCTTCCTCATTGACTTTGCTTAACAGAAGGTTACAAACAATGATCGCATGATCCCAGGACACACTACAACCAGCATAAATATGAGCCAGTTACCAAGCATCCAGAATTTTAATCAGGTGTCCATGGAGATGCTGCAATGGTTGTCAGTGTGGAAAAACGGTCATAAGTCACTTTTTTCAGTGCAGCTGTAACTTCGAACGGTCTCTAAACAAATGGTTATAAGTTGGGGGGCTATTTATATTTGCAGTATCTTACATAACAATCAATAAAAACAGAGATTAAAAACAGAGCCACCTTTCCCAGCAGGTACCACATGCAACAGCTTCCTGTCTCATCCCCCTCCCTGCTGCTTGGAGGAACAGGCTAAAGGGGTATTTATATAGTTTGGACCAGGGGATAAAAACTTCAAGTGGGAAAATTTAGCATAATGAAACAGGGTAGGGGAAGCACTTAGCTACAAACACACATGCACATACACACACCAGCATAATTATTGAGGGACAATCTACCTCTGCCTGTCCAGTAAGATCAGGCAGAGTGGATGCACTCCAGGACATTTTTGATCAAAATGTTATTTTGCAGGAAGTTGTCTTCTCTGTCGCAGCACCTATCCTCTGGACCAGGCGTCTTCAAACTTTTATGACTTGTGGACTTCAACTCCCAGAATTCCTCAGCCAGGCACGCTGGCTGAGGAATTCTGGGAGTTGAAGTCCACAAGTCATAAAAGGGCTAAGTTTGAAGACCTCTGCTCTGGACAGTATTCCCCAAGACCCAAACAGCTTCCATCCTAATTATATTCCTTGCCTTTGAAAACCTGGGTCTTTTTCCTGGTCCTTTGGTGGGAAGGTAACAGCACTCTGTGATGTCATGCTGGCCACATGACGGTAGAAATGTCTTCAGACAACGCTGGCTCAATGGCCTTAAAACAGAGATGAGCGCTTGCCCTCTATAGTCAGCAACGACTAACGGAGTAAAATCCACAGAGACTCCTTTTTTCCTCACTCTTTTTAATAATTTTATTAAAGTGTAATAAAAGAAGACAAAAACTAATGCAAAATAATAATAATTAAAGCAAGAGAAAAGAAAATGAAAGGAATTAAAGAAAATGGTAAAAGTGGAAAAAAGGAAAAAAACAGAAGAAGGATATAGAAAAAAACAGTGTTTGGTTTTCTTTACACCAGTTTTATGTTATCTTCTTTCCATTTCATTGTCATTGCTTTTTAGTGTGAGCCACGCAGTCGCTTGGAATTCAGTGGCCTCTAAACCCAATCAAACAAATAAACAAGCCAACAAGCAAATAAATACTTAAATCAATTTCAGATCTATTTATTGCTAAAAATAAAAACATCTAGAAATAATGGGTCTTGCTTTTTTTTTAAGAAAGAAAACTTGATTCTATTTTTTTTCTTCTAGCAAAGACACCTTCCTGAATTATGGCTCCATGTCTTATTGAAATAATTTTTTCTTATTTTGATCAGAGCTCTATATAACTCAAAAGCCAGCACAACTTTATACCCATTGGATTTCGGACCCCTTAATAGATGCCACTCTAACAGATGCCACCACCCATGCTATGTTCCTCTATTTTCTTCAGCAAACATGGAGACGACCAGCTCTGCTCCAAACCACAAAAGGAGCTGCGGTTCACTAAAATTAGAAGGTGCCTAATAGAGGCTGTGAGAAAGCAGATAAAACATGATCTCTATAAAATGTTGACAATGCATACAAATCTTGGGAAGGAGGAAAGCTACAAAAGACAAGAAAATTCATAGTTAGTTTTCTCTTGAGTGGCATTCAGCGAGTTTGAAACAACTTTCACAGGAGCTTCCTTCTCAAATCTTTCCTCATGGCTTCTTGAAGCCTTATAAACAGCCCCTGTGCAAAGCTGCACCTTCATACAGAAGGACAGAGTTGAGCCATATACAGCACACTCAGGGTGTTGCACATTTCTATCCTCCCATAAACAGTAGAAAACTAGGAACAAACTTGCCTGCGAGGAAACAGCTCCCAGTTAGGCACTGTCCTGCCATCTTGCAAGTGGAAAACTTTGATTGACAGGGGCAGGCTGGTGTGAAAATGGGGGAGGCAGTGTATGTGTGTTGTTGCCAACAAAGGTTAAGATAATGTATCCCAACCGGGAGCCACGTTTTAGGTCCATAACTGCCACAAGGGGGCAGCATCAACCCATTCCACTCTATAGCGAAGCAGCTGGCCAAACTGTTAAGCATAAATTAGCCCTGCTCTCTAAAATCTGTTAACATTTAAATAGCATAGGTAAGATAATACAGAGGGGCAGTGTAGTATTCAGACAATATACATTATGTTAAGTTCTAAGTGTGATTATATTAATCATTGTTGGGGAAGGCAGGGTAGAGGGGAATAGAGGGCTTACTATGTTATATAAAGTAGTTCAAAACCTCAATGCAGAAAATAGGTAATTCAATAACTAAATAATATTATACAATGCAACCAAATAGTATTATTACTGGGGGCAGGGGGGAAGGAGAAGACTAGCCAAAGTCTCTAATAACAATACTAACAACAGAGTTCATGGGGCACTAAATATTAAAGAACTAAAGGAAACAGTAATGACAAGCTATGAATTGGTGTGTAAGTAGTATAATTATTAGCTATATAACTGAAACAAATTACGATAGGATGATATTAAATAATGATGCACTACTGACAGAGAAGTATGATACATTAAAACCAATGAAAACAGATAATTTACAATGTCTAATAAAAAGCAAAGTACTACCATACTCCAACAGCAGAATTCAATAGGAGGTTCTAAGCAACCTTAGATTTTCTTCTGGGCAGGAGGCTGAATTAGATCATTTCTAAGGACCTGTGATACTAAAAATTGAAGCATGTCAGTGTTTGTTTGCTTAATTTCATCGCTGGACTATGGACCTCTGAACATATGTATTCAACTTTTTGTTTTTTTACTGAATACTGTCTTCTTCTAATCCCCAGCCCAGTTATAGCTGTTCATTTAATGATGTTTCAAAGTTGAAAAATGAAAAAAAAAAACACCTTATGATGCATCCTCAAAGTTACACCACCCTTGTGATCGTATGATTGCAATCTGGGCACTTGGCAGTCGGCTCGCTTTATGACATTTGCAATATCATGAGCTTATATTATCATGATTGCAACCTTCCCAGCTAGCTTCCAACAAGCAGTCAATTGGGAAAGCTGGATTCACTTAACAACTGTGCAGATTCGGTTAATGAGGATACTAAAAATGGTCATAAATTTGGGTCTGGTCACATGATGACTTGCTTAATGATCATATAGCTTAGAGACTGAAATTCTGGGAGTATCTGTATTACACATTGGAGATAAAATGAGGTAAGCAGTAGCAGGTGAAAGTGGAGTAGTCTTATTGACCATGTCATTAACAGAGGGATAGAATCAAGATCGCGTGAAGTATTAATACCACTTTACAATGCCTTGGTAAGGCCACACTTGGAATACTGCATCCAGTTTTGGTCACCACGATGTAAAAAAGATGCTGAGACTCTAGAAAGAGTACAGAGAAGAGCAACAAAGATTAGGGGACTGGAAGCTAAAACATATAAGGAACAGTTGCTGGAATTGGGTATGTCTAGTTTAATGAAGAGAAGGACGAGGGGGGACATGATAGCAGTGTTCCAATATCTCAGGGGCTGCCACAAAGAAGAGGGAGTCAAGCTATTCTCCAAAGCGCCTGAAAGCAGGACAAGAAGCAACAGATGGAAACTAACCAAAGAGAGAAGCAGCCTAGAACTAAGGAGAAATTTTCTGACAGTTAGAACAATTAATCAGTGGAACAACCTGCCTCCAGAAGCTGCGAATGCTTCAACACTGGAAGTGTTTAAGAAGAGATTGGACAGCCATCTGTCTGAAATGGTATAGGGCAGGGGTGTCAAACTCAGTTTCATTGAAGGCCGCATCAGCATTGCGGTTGTCCTCGGGTGTGTGTGTGGCCAGGGTGTGTGTGGCCTACTGGGTGGGCGTGGATGGAGTGGGTGTGGTCTACTGGGGGCGTGGCCAGCTCTACATCATTCGCGTCAATGGTGCCTGTGGGGGCCTGGGCAGGAGTGGGACAGATCTGAGGGTCTCTGGCAAAAGGGGGTGGGACCAGGGCAAGTGCCCAGGCATGGTCCACTGGAGGAGCCTCACTGTTCCTCTCAGGCCATGCGGGGGGGCTGGATGGTGGCGTGGGCTGCCTGGAGCCCTGGACAGAGGTCAAATGCCCAGCCTGGCCCTCTAGCATCTGCAGCACCAAGCCCAGCCCCACTTCCCCAAGGGGGTGCCCAGCTGCACTTGCCTCCTCCTCAAGACTGTTGCTGCTGTGCTTGCTCTCCTTAACCAGGTTGCTCATGATGGGTACAAGGGCAAAGTCAGAGGGAGGCCCATTCCCTCTCCATGGGAGGAGACCCGGCTTTGTATCCAAAGCTTCCTTAGCAATAGGATGGGAGACCCAGGATAGGCTAGGAGGAGGGGGCAAGGGGATGGTGAAACGGCAGCAGGGCAGGACTAAGGTAGGACTTCCCTCAGAACCTCCCTCTCCTTCTTTCCTTCCTTCCTAAGTACATAGTGGTAGGAAAATATTTGAGATGAGGGAGGGAGAAAAACAGGCAAGAAACACAGCTGGGGAGGTGTCACCCTTCGTGAGGAATGAAGAAATGCACCATCGCCTGGAAGTGGCCAGCACATGACCCTCACCTACTTCACATATCTGGCTTGGTGGGCTCTGGGGGAGGGGATGCCATGAGCAGCGTGAGAGTCAATGTTACCTGCGCAATGCCGCCCAGCCCCCAGCCTGTCCAGTTTTGGTAAGCAGCGAGGTGCTCTCCTCACAGCGCCAAGAAGCTGAACCAAGGGGTGCGAATCTGAAAAGAAGCATGACGCCACCCAGCCCCCAGCCTGCCCGGTCTCGGCAGGCAGCGGGGCACTCTCCTCACAGCTTCGAGAGGCTGAGCCGGATGGTGCGAATCCAAAAACAAGCGTGAGACCACTCAGCCCCCACCCTGTCCGGTCTTGGCAGGCAGTGGGGCACTCTCCTCACAGTGCTGAGAGACTGAGCTGGGTGGTGTGAATCTGAAAACAAGCGTGAGGCCGCCCAGCCCCCAGCCCACCTGGTTTCGGCAGGCAGCGGGGCACTTTCCTCACAGTGCCGAGAGGTTGAGCCGGGAGGTGCGAAGCTCGCCAGTTTTGCACCTTGCTCCCTGCTGAAACTGGGCAAGCTGGGGGCTAGGCAGCATTGCACTTCTCATCAGATTCACGCCACCCAGCTGTGAGGAGAGCGCCCTGCTGCCTGCCAAAACCGGGCAGGCTGGGCCGCGTTGCGCTTCTTTTTGGATTCGCACCGCCCAGCTCAGCCTCTCGGCACTGTGAGGAGAGGCCCCGCTGCCTGTCGAAACCCCTCCCCTGGAGCCCATGAAGCCGGATATGTGAAGTAGGTGAGGGCCATTTGCTGGCTACTTCCAAGCGATGGTGCATTTCTTCATTCCTCACAAAGGCATGCACCCAGGGGGCGGGGCCGATGCAGCAGGGGCTGGTTCCTCGCTGTTTCCAGTTGGCCTTGTGGAGCTAAGACTGAATACATTTCAGCGTAGATGGCCACCACAAAATTGTACATTGGCCAAGGCAGCGGGGGCTGTTCCCTCACTGTTTCCAGAATGGCTTCGCGTTTGACATGTCTAGACCAGATGACCTCCAAGGTCCCTTCCATCATCATCCATCATCATCCATCATCATCATCATCATCATCATTATTACAGATGGCAGTTCATGCCTTCCTCCTGGTCATGCATCAATTTCATCCACAAACATCAACTCCTCGATGTCTCTCCACTATGGCAAGGAGGCGGAGAAATTATGGTGCATGTGTCATGTGATGACACAACAACTGCATGATGAGCTGTCATTCTGAATTATCAGTTTACTCAGGACACCACTGGCCTCATCTGCTGCCATTCTGCTGTGCTCTCCTAAAACAGTTAAATGTACCATCACCATTCCAGGCCCATCAGGCTTGTATCTTCACATTAGACTGCTCAGCTTTACCTTTAAGCCCCTTCTCAATTTTGCACAAGGTTAAAATAGCATAGAAACTGAGTTGTCCAACAGTGAAAAATGTAGGCTGAAAGAGTAAAACAGTGGAACACCTAAACCTCTCACTCCCCTCGCCCCTTGCCATAGAGGAATCTGGAAATCAGCATTTACTGATTTTTATATAAAGGAAGGAAAGGAAGGAGAGAGAAATCTTAAATAAAAAAATTGCTTGTAATTCAACTCTCTTCATGACTTTCTTCTTCTTCTTCTTCTTCTTCTTCTTCTTCTTCTTCTTCTTCTTCTTCTTCTTCTTCTTCTTCTTCTTCTTCTTCTTCTTCTTCTTCTTCTTCTTCTTCTTCTTCTTCTTCTTCTTCTTCTTCTTCTTCTTCTTCTTCTTCTTCTTCTTCTTCTTCTTCTACCATTATTCAGTGCCACATAGGTGGCCTTGAGCTCAGGAGAAAAGGCAATTTATCAATCTAACAAATAATAAACACCGTATCCTCTGTGTCCATGTTAACTCTCACACTGGAGCTACAACAGAATGAATTGCAGGACACATATTCCTTAGACTGACAGCCTGCTTTTCCTCAGGAGCTCAAGCTGCATATAAGGCATTCCTTTCTGCCCCCCCCCCCCCCCCGTTTTCCCCACAACAACCCTGTGAGATAAACTGGGTTGAACGAAAGTGTCTGGTCCAAAATCACCAAGGGAGCTTTCTTTAGCTGGAGATGAACTAGAAGCTGGGTGTCCCTGTTTTTGGTCCAGCATCTTCACCATAACTTCCATGGCTGATGGCAGATTACACACAGAGTGGCTCTATCAGCATCATCCACTTTTTAAAAATTAAATAAACTGTCACAGACAATTTATTTAAGCTTTTTCTTACTTGTTTTTATTTGTATCCAAAACACTTGTCTAGTCTGCACAAAACAGATATACAGAAACATATGGGTGGACTTATGTAAATCCAACCAGTGTTTTACTGCATTAGCTAT